GTTTAACCATAAATGCGGCAGACGGCGTGCTGGGGGCCATTCATTCGCGGGAAATATATTAACTTCCCCTCATATTGAATTGGGTTATTCTCCAAAAATTTCCCCATGTCCCAAGAGATTTTGAATGCAACCCAAGCTCTCTACCGTCAATGTCACATGGGCGAGAACGATCCAACCATCAGGCACAGAGCCGATCTCATACCCCATTCCGCATCGGAGGGGTCATCTGCCGCATGACATGGATACCCTCCCCAGCGCGGGGACGAACTCTCACAACAGACGAACAGTAATCAGCAATTGGATGCCGCAGCGAATACCAAGCCCAGCGAATGCTACTACCGACATGCCCGTTATTAGCAGACCGCCGACGTGTCGCCTCACAATAGAGTGCGCCAAGATGGACGGAGCAAGGGTCGACAGGTGCGTTTTCCTGCCTGCTGAACCAAAGTCGTCCTCGCCGCGGGTCATGAGATCATAAGACAACTGCAATTCCCGTCTCTGCCGGATGGACGGCCAGTCTCCTCCCTCGGCATCTTGGCTGGACTGTCAGCGGGGTTCGAACAAATTGGACACGGCGGATCGTCCTTGCAGCACGCGGGGGAAGGCCTCATTCTCATAGAGTGCTCTCAAGGTTCGACGGCGAGTATAAGTGTTCTCTTCCCACGCGGAGGGCCCCCCAATTGATCTGACCACCTTGAGAGAGAGTCAGTCCTGCAACTTGCAACTTGCACACACACACACCACCCGCCATGCACTTCTCCAAGCTCGCAGCTCTAGCTGCGGCAACGGGCCTCGCCAGCGCGCAGGAAGCCGGGCCACGGCGCTCCCCCGAGTGGGAAGCAGCCTACGCCAAAGCGGAAGCGGCCCTTCCGCGCCTCTCACAGAGCGAAAAGATCGGTATCGTCTCGGGCGTCGGCTGGGGCAACGGGCCCTGCGTGGGCAACACCAGCCCGGCGTCGTCCATCAACTACCCACAGCTCTGCCTGCAGGACGGTCCACTCGGCGTGCGCTACGCCGAGAGCGTCACGGCCTTCACGCCCGGGATCCAGGCCGCGTCGACATGGGACGTCGAGCTCATCCGGCAGCGCGGCGCGTACAAGGCGGCCGAGGCGAGGGGCGTCGGCGTGCACGTCATGCTCGGCCCCGCGTGCGGCGCGCTCGGCAAGATCCCCGCGGCGGGACGCAACTGGGAAGGCTTCGGGCCGGACCCGTACCTCATGGGCGTCGCGACGCACGCGACCATCGAGGGGATGCAGTCCGCAGGCGTGCAGGCGACGGCGAAGCACTACATTGTCAACGAGCAGGAGGTCAGCCGCGAGACGATCAGCAGCAACGTCGACGACCGGACGATGCACGAGCTGTACCTGTGGCCGTTCGCCGAGGCCGTCAAGGCCAACGTGGCGTCCGTCATGTGCTCGTACAACAAGGTCAACGGGACGTGGGCGTGCGAGAACGACGCCGTCATGAACAAGCTGCTCAAGCAGGAGCTCGGGTTCCCGGGGTACGTTATGACGGACTGGGCCGCGTCCACGGGCACGGCCAGCGGCGCGAACAGCGGACTCGACATGATGATGCCCGGCAGCGACTTCAACGGCGGCACGGTGCTCTGGGGCCCCCAGCTGCAGAGCGCCGTCGACAATGGCCAGGTCGCGCAGTCGAGGGTGGATGACGCTGTCCGTCGTATCCTCGCGGCGTGGTACCTCCTCGGCCAGGACCAGGGATACCCGGCCGTCAACTTCGCGGCCAATGTCCAGGGAAACCACAAGGAGAACGTGCGCGCGGTCGCCCGAGACGGCATCGTGCTGCTCAAGAACGACGGCGCGGTGCTGCCCCTGAAGGCGCCGGGCAAGATCGCCGTCATCGGGTCCTCGTCCGTCAACAACCCGCAGGGCATCAACGCGTGCGTCGACCGCGGCTGCAACGTCGGGTCGCTGGGGATGGGCTGGGGCTCCGGGACGGTCGAGTATCCGTACGTCGTGGCGCCGCTCGACGCCATCAAGGAGAGGGCGGCGCAGGACGGCACGGAGGTCGCCACCAGCAGCACCGACGACGCGACCCAGGGCGCCGCCGCGGCCGGCGGAGCGGACGCCGCGTTCGTCTTCATCACGTCCGACTCGGGCGAGGGGTACATCACCGTCGACGGGAACCAGGGCGACCGCAACAACCTCGACCCGTGGCACAACGGCAACGAGCTCGTCCGCGCCGTGGCGGCCGCGAACCAGAACGTCGTGGTGGTGGTGCACAGCACCGGGCCCATCATCCTCGAGAGCATTCTGGCGCAGCCCGGCGTCAAGGCCGTCGTGTGGGCGGGTCTGCCGTCGCAGGAGAACGGCAACGCCCTCGTGGACATCCTCTGGGGCGCGACGAACCCCAACGGAAAGCTGCCCTACACCATTGGCAAGGCGGCAGGCGACTACGGCACTGCCGTGTCGAGGGGAAGCGAGGACAACTTCTCTGAGGGTCTGTACATTGACTACCGCCACTTTGACCAGGCCAACATTGAGCCGCGATTCGAGTTTGGCTTCGGACTGTGTAAGTCGAGGCGCATCCCACTTGAGAGCGTTGAGAGCATCACTGACACGGGAAACAGCTTACACGAATTACACGTACTCGGGCATCAGCGTCACCTCGACAGCGTCGTCCGGGCCTGCGGTGGGCGACGTCGTCCCCGGCGGGCGCGCCGACCTCTTCGAAGAGGTGGCCACCGTGACGGCGACGGTGACGAACAGCGGAGCCGTGGACGGGGCCGAGGTTGCGCAGCTCTACGTGACACTGCCGTCCGGCGCGCCGGCGGCACCGCCGAAGCAGCTGCGCGGGTTCCAGAAGCTGAGGCTCGCGGCGGGCGAGTCCGGCACGGCGACGTTCATCCTCCGGCGCAAGGACCTGAGCTACTGGGACACGCGGAGCCAGAACTGGATCGTGCCGGCCGGGACGTTTGGCGTCAAGGTCGCGGCGTCGAGCAGAGACATCCGGCTGGAGGACACCTTGGTTGTGTCGTAATCTGGAGACCGGAAAACAGTTTTGATAGAAAACAAACAAAAATAGGCATGGAAAAGTTGAGATTGCAATGTTGCAATTCTCCGTATCACGTATGCAATAAAATCATGGCATTATGAGATGGTAACCGTTCCCTTTGCTGCGAGACCCAAGGAAATGCTCCGCGCGTCGGACCGAATGGCACGGTGGTGAACTTGGCGGAGGACGCGATCTGCGAGGAACGATTTCTGGGCACCGAGGCCGTGATTCCGGACGTGGAGTTTGGGGCTTCGGGAATGTGGGCGATGGCGTTCCCGTCCCGGCGCGGCGGCGGCGGAGTGTGGCGGGATCCCCAGCAAATGCGACCATGTTCCCTGCTTTCTTCTTTGGCAGGAAATCCATCTTCATATCCGAGCAACCTAAAAATTGTTTCAATGGGTTTCTGGAAGGAAGCGGGGACGGCTCATTTGAAAGATCGGACCAGCCTCATGCTGGTCATGACTTATGATGCCGGTAAGCATATCGCGATCCATGGGACTGCCGTGGCCGTCTTGGCGGGTTGGGCCGTGGAGAAGCGAAGCGAGGGCGTAGGGCACCGTGGTTCGTTTGTTCCCCTGGTGGATTGGACATTGCGTTCATGTTTGCGACAGCGGTGGCTTGGATGCGTCTGAGTTGAGGCCGTGAAAGCTGGGATGAAAGGCTAGAGACGGGCGGAATCGGCAGATGCGAGCCGGGTGTGGGTGATGACGATCAGATCAGGGCACCGCGCGAACTGGTGCCTCTTGAAGGTTGAGACCGAGCCTCATTTTGTGACGACATTTTCAGGCGGGTTGGGGTTGGCCGTCGCTGCGCTTCATCAGCCCTGAATATGGATCCCAGTGACGATGATGTTGATTGTTGATGTTGGTAGAAAAGACGGCAAGCGACACGCAAGCCGTGGCAGTCCCGGTGGATTACTCCGTAGAAACCACCTAATGCCACCGTAAGGTAGGTACGGTAGGCCGGACTCGCCGACTACCTTCACTAACTGTAACGCCGATGCCGCCGACGCTGGAGCGGTGGGGTCGACCAGGGTGGGGCTTAGCGCACCGCCTCCCCCGAACGCTCCCCAAGCCTCACCACCCGTTGAGGAAATCGAATCTCGCATTCCCCCCGCCGAGTTCGCCCAACGCCCATTCATCACCCTGGCACTTCTTCAAAAGCACTGCTGCAGCTGCGGCAGCGGGCAGCCACAGCGGCCGGGGTGGGGGGCATCTCCCGCCCCTTGCTCCCCCGTTGTCTCTCTTGTCTCTCTGCCTTACGAGGTTCGACGAATGAACGGCGAGGGAGGATGGTTGGACGGGTGCTCTGTCGCTGTCAACTGCACGAACCTCTAGCTGCCGTTTGGGGGGAGGGAACAAACTGTGTAACCATGACGTGCAGCCAACACCACGCGCAAACAGGACGTCTTTGCAGAACCAGGACAGAGCCCTCGTGACTGCTCAACATTGGCCACTCGGTATCGTAACCGTCTCTTGTCTCGGTACTCGTGCTGCATGCTTCCCTTAACTCCAGGCGTTCCCGAGGAGACCTGCGAACTGCTAATACCAGAGCGTGACATCCAACTTAAGCGTACCAGCGCCTGTCTGGATGACACTGTGGGGATGTGGTGCCGCCCCCGGTGAAGGGATGGACGTTGGTCCCCCAAAGACGACGGAACCTTGCTCCCTTGCAAGTTGTATGCCGCAGCGCAAGGTAGGGTACGCAATACGCCGAGCCTCCGCCCCAGCGCCGCCCGGGATCCATCGTCCTCGAAGCTTTGCGTGCCCATCCGTGCAAGATTTGGCCTGCGCTGGGCTGATGGACATGCAATACTTAAGTTGATGGTTGCCCCGTACCTTGGTCTTGTTTCTACCTGTCTCGTTTCACAGCACCTTGCAACAATACAAAATACCCCATTACGACCTTCACCTCGTCGAAACAACACATACAACCTCAACCTCCACCCACTTACACACTTACACCACACCACACACACAACCTACATGTCAGCCAACGACTACTACGGCGGCTCCCGCCGCAACAGCCACACCCCAGGCTCCCGCTCCTCAAAGACCTACCTCTCGACCCCTCTCGTAGACCAAGCAGGTTACTACCCCGAGCTCGACGTCCCCCTTGGCGAACGCCCCCGCTCCGCCATGGCCAACCGCTCCAAATTCGGCAACGGCTACCACTCCCGCTCCCGCAGCACCGGCGGCGGTCCTCCGGGCTCCGACGCCCAGCTCGGCACCGGCAAGGAGGGCGAGCGCGGCCTTCTCTCCACCATCGGAGGCGGAGCCGCCGGCGGGTTCGCGGGCAAGAAGCTCCTCGGCGGCGGCAAGCTGGGCACCGCCGCCGGCGCTCTCGGAGGCGCCGTCATCGCGAACAAGATCGAGCACCGCATCTCCGGGAGCCACCACCACAGCAGCAGCCACAGCAGCAGCCACAGCAGCAGCCATCACTACGGCGCTCCCCCTCCTCCTCCCCCGCCTCCTTACCATGCCCACCACCACCACCACCATCACGGCCCGCCGCCGGCCCCTCCTCCTCACTACGGCCCTCCCCACCACGGCCCTCATCACCACGGCGGCCCCCCACCGCATCACGGCCGCCACCAAAGCTCCGGTGGCTTCGGAGGGATGCTTGGCAATCTGATGCACAGGGGACACAATGAGCCTCCCCACCACGGCGGCCACCATGGCCAACACGGGGGTCATCACGGAGATGGTCACCACGGAGGTCACCATGGAGGTCACCATGGAGGTCATGGCTGGTAAACAGTAGCCCTCCACATAAGTGTTTTCATAATGATTGGTGTTTGGGATGTTTTGATTCATGAACTTGTATAACTATGATGGGATGAGAACGGTTTAAACCATATATACCTGTACGGATTTTGTTGTCAGTAGATCGAGAACAGCTTAGAATAAAGCTTGAATGCGTCATAAACGCCTGTAAAATCAGAATTTGGATATCAGTATATTCTCAGCTCGCTTGAACTGTGAAACCTGGTCGCCCCGTGTTCGCGTAGACACACGTTGATGAGATGTGAATGCAGCCGTGGCCATGCGATGCAATTAGATCCTAGATATAAAACTCCCAAGACTGGCGCCGTGGCGGCGCGTGACATGACATGCTATGCTCCCATATAAACTCACTCCTTGTGCGAGGATGACTAATGACGAAGAAGAATGCCTTGGTAACGAAGTAGCCTACCCCATCCATGACTGCGCCCCCGTATGCAGCTATGTACTGTACGTATCCAAACGAAGAAAAGTCGTCATCATCATCCGCTCTAGACTGTTCACGAGGTGGCCTACACCATGACAGCTAGGGGTTCCATGCAATCGAAACAGGGGATGGTCGCCGGTAGACCAACAGAACACGAACATAAAAAAAATACTCAGACACCGACCGCGCCTTCTGGTCTGTTTCTTGACGGGATCTGGATCTCGCCCTCATCGTCATCCGAGCTATCGCCAGCCTGGGCAGCCTGGTCAATCATGCGCTCGATATCGGCGTCTGCTAGCCGCTGTCGCGGCCGGGAGGTACTGCCTAGTGCTGCGGGCAGTGACAGTTGTGGACGCAAGGTGCTGCCCGCAGAGAAGCTGGCGCTGCCATTGATTCGCCTCCTCATGGGGCCCCGAGACTGAGGAGAGTCCATGTCGACATCCATATCGCTTACTGTGGTCATGCCACTGGGGCTCTTTTCAAAACCTACGCGTTTTTGCTGCACCGGACGTTGTGAAGGCAGGCTCTTGCGTGGTTGGGAGCCCGGTAATGCGTGGCGGCCGGGCAGGGCCGAGGCCACGGACTGTGAGTAGTTGTGCTTCATGTTGGCTGAGTTTCCGGGGCTGCTCATGAAGATGAGAGACTCGATGGCGTCCTGCTCTCTAACGTTTTGGTGGGGTGAGAAGAGAATAGGGTCGATGAGTGGTGTCCTTCCTAACCTCTGATTTGGCGTCGCGCCCAGGTTTTGCTGGCCCGGCGTGTGGGGTGACGCGCTGTGGGAGTGCGAGAGGAGGGTTGGAGTGTAGCGTGGATTTGAATTACGACGAGGATTTTGAGAAGCCATAGATCGCGCAGGTTGGATCGGTGCGGGAGGAGCAAGCGTTGGACCATTCTGGACAGGAGCTGGAGGCGAGGCCGAGGTGTGGTTGGATCTTTGCCCTTCTTTCCAGAAGGACTCATACGTAGCAGGGCTTGGGCCAGAGCTTGCCGTCGTGGCGGCACTGGCAGGTGCGTAGCGGGCCATGTTGGCGCGAGGGCTGGCCGAAGACTCTTGACGGCCATGTAATGTGGAATTGCTCGAGGTGGGCGAGGCGGCCTGGGAGACCATGTACTCGACCTCGTCTATCGAGCGAGATTGCCAGCCATGGTTCACCTTGTGCATGGCGTATGAGAGACGCGTCCTCAGGTCGCTCGACCACTGCGAAGCGTTAGCTACATGAGGTTTCTGGGTGTATGTGATGCTGGGTAAACTTACATCGCCGATACTGCTGGCAGTCGTCGAGGCCGTGCTTACGGTGCTCGTGTTCCTGGAATGACCTATACGGACGGGAGAGGTGTCTTCCTTGACCATGCCGTCGGCCATGCGTTTCCGCGATGTTGCGGCAGCGTCATTTTCAAGCAGCTTGTCCTGGGCGGCGGCGATATGGGACAGCTGGAGCAGCTGGGATTCCTGGCTGGAATTATGGCCGTTGGTATTCGCGCCTGGCATATCACCTTGGCTCGCTGGCGGGGTAAACACGGTGTCGGACTCGGCGGACGGGTTTGAATCTTGCGAATGGGCGGAGGGGACCGGTCGGGGCCCAGATTGATAGTCCTGGGAGGACGCGACGGAGGCAGTTGGTGTCTTTGTTGTTGCTGGCTGGACCTCTAGTGTGTGCGAGGTGTAGAGGGGTCGGGGGACGGGGATGTCTGGTTGTTGGTGTTGTGGGTGATTGCGGTGGATATGGTTGTGGTTGTGGTGGTGGTTCGCAGTCGCGTCGCCCGAGGTTGATTTGGCGGCGTCGGTGGGAAGCGCGTCGGTCGACTTGGTCTGCAGGCGGGCGGTCTCTGGCAGTGCATGGCGAGCGGCTTTGTCTGGTAATGATCTCGCGTCGGACACGGCTGGGCCTGGGTGCATTTTGAAATGTTCTCGGTCGGAGTCGAGCAGGTGTCCCAGCCGGGGAGGGATCGAGGCAGAGTCCATGGCGGGCAGGGCAGACTGGACATGCGCCGCCGGGTTATGTTGTGTCGTTACAATAATAGGCGTCGTCGGCAGACGCGACTGGAGCAGACGTGTCAGCGGCGGGTGGCAGCGCCGGTAATAGAAGCTAGAGACGGCAGCGAGGCCGGAGCGGACGTGTGAGAGCTGCACGAGACGGAGAGGTGCTGTAGATTGAGGAGGAAGAAGAGAGGAGACGGAGGCCGGGTGGTTGCGACGATGCGGATGTGCGATGTGTGGAAGTGTCGGTGGGCTGCGGTTGCATACGCGGACGACACTAAGCCGTGGGAGGTCGAAGCCAGTCACACACACACACCAGTGACCACACACACACACTGCCCAGGTGCCTGTATTGCCGCCGCAGTGATTATTATCGCGGGTGGGAGTACAGAGTACCAGCTAACTAGTCAGTCACTCAGGGCACCCTCGCTTCAGTTATCAGGTGCCTAGACAGGTCGGTCCAGTGATGGTGGTACGGAAGCGCGGGGGAGGCAATTGGGTAGGTTCGACAGGGGGGAGAGCGGTTTACGCGGTCTGCACATTCACTCAAGGTGCTGTGTCGCGTTTTTCTGCCCACAGGCGTGCTTTGTGTCGCCTGTGTCTCTCGGCTTTCCATTCCATCTCAGCAAGGTACCTACATACCTGAGGTACGGTACTACGGTACAGCGGGGTCCCCACCTCGGGCCCCTAAGGTACAATGAACAATGGACGGCCAGCTTCTTCTTCTGGCAGCGACCGACGACCCCTAAAAAACCGCACTTCGTCTCAATCTGCTATAGAACGCTGTGTGGTTCGCTAAAGACCCCGTGGATAAGGTACCTAGGGAAAAAAGGCGGGAGAGCCCCAGCCACGTCAATCACTCCGCTGGGGGAATCCTCGGTCGGGGAGGGGCTCTCTTCATTTACTCGGTATCAACAACAAACATCCACTGCCCAGACGAGGAGGAGGTGAGGCAACATAAGGAACTGCACGCCGGAGTCACGCGGTAAGATGGACTCGGGAGGCTGCTGTCAGAGGAGGAAACCTGGAAGCCGCAGACCACCTTTGCTGCTGCGTAAGACAGACACCCAACACCTGTTGGTACCTCCCTAAACCAAAAAAGAAGGCAAAGAGAGAGAAAAAAAAAAAAAAAAAAGTCGCATCTGCACTGCGGCCCTGCGACACGCCCGGCTGCCGCTCGGCCTGACTCAGCAGGTCAAAGACACGTAGTCACGTGAAATACGTACCTGCCATCACGAATATGTACCTCGGTACCTCGCCCTTCCCTCACTCGACGGACCGCCTCTGCGCCCAACACTCGACCTTCAGTGCCCTCCTCACCGCTGCTGCCCACCAGTTTATGTACGACAACGACCATGTTTGCTTTTCCCGCCATCGACTGCTGTTCCTGGTCTCCAGAGTCGCCATGATTGGATCAACTCGCAAGAACCGCTGGATATCATCCGACCGGCCGTGCGTCTAGTCTCCTAGAATGAAGCCATCGCGAACTGCCCCGTGTTGCTGCCCAAGGCCTGCCTGCTTGCTGGTCATGTTAAGACCAATCCTTCCAGCACTGTCGTACAAATCTGGGCAGGAACTACACCCCGCTATACGCACCCGCACCCGCACCCGCATGTCTCATGTCTTGTCTATTGTTCGTCTATCATTGACCCGCTACTCCTGATTTCCATGCAATCAACCGTCGCCACCCTCTAACAATGCCTTGTTCTGCGCCGTCATGACACGCTGGGGAATGTCGCCTCATGCCAGAATTAACTAGACGTCTCATCTATCAAACGTTCTGGTCCAACCGTCTATCCCTCTGCCCATCAATATTCGGTATCAAGCCTCTGCCAGCTTGCCCTCTCAGCCACAGGCAGGCTCATCAGCCGTGACAGCATGTCCGTGGGCACCTCCGTCTAGAATCACCGCTTCGTTGTCGTTGAAATCGTCCTGTACCCTCCTCCACTGTGTCTTTCTATCCTTCCGTCCCTCGAGCTGGCTGCCCTTGCCCTTGGCATCCCACACAGGTTTGATCAGCGCCCCGAGCAAAGGGTTGTGGCTGAATGCACCACCTCCTCCGCCCTGCCGCTGCCCGACGCCTGCATTCTCGTCCACATCCTCGTGGACAATAACGTCCTCTTCATCCGGCGTCGTTGGCCGTTCTACCGCCGCCATCTTCCTCACCACCTTGCCCTTAACCACGTCAATACTGACGACTTGCCGGCGCTTCTCGTACTCCGGCCTGGCGTTCCATTCAATCTCGCGCAGAACCTTCTGTTGTCTCTTGAGCTCCCGAGCTCTCTCCTCCGGCGTCGACCAGATGTTGCCTCCCGCGCCGGCCATAGCCCCCGATACGTCAAAGTCTGCTGCCTCGTCTCTGACCGTCGTTCTCCGCGCATTCTGGGCCTGGAAGTTCAACAGCTTATCGCGGTGCTCCCGCGCCTTGGCTTCCGCATCGGACATTTTGTTCTGGCTGAAGGGCGCCGGCTTCTTGCTGACTTCGGGACGCTTGTGAGCCTCGCGGTCCACCGCCATGCGCTCCCGCCCTCTCTCGGCCTTGAGCTCCTTGATCATCCCTTGCACATCCTCTGACGACAAGAGAGGCGCGCCGCAGTAGGTGCATGGCCCTAGCCCTTCCTTGACGCAAGTCACCTTGCCGCAGGACAGGCAGTTGGGGGCGGCAGTCTGGAGCGGATGTCTGGTAGCCACACAGTTGCATCTCCTGGCTTTCGGGTCATCCCCCAGGGAAGGATTCGTTGTGATTTCTAGAGAGCGAATTGCTGCGTCCAAGTCGTTCAGGGCTGTCGACGCGCCGGCCATGGGGGTCCCGCCAGCAATCGAGATCTTTGTTGTAGTTTGTTTTGTCGACGGCTTCGGTGTCGAAGATCGTGACACGGGATTTGACTTTGGCTTCGCTTTGACGTCAGATATCAGGTATCCTCCGGCAGTCCTTTGCTGTTGTGGAGGCGGAGTTGCGCTCTTCTGCGGTTGTTGCTTGAAGCTTGCTGATGCGCTGCCGCTCCCTTCCCCAGCTTGGTTGGGCTTCTTGCCGCCGTAGTAGTCTTCCTCTAAATCCTTCTTCGTGTAGCTAGTACCGGCGAGCGGTGGGAAAGCCTCAACCTTTCTCGCGACTGGCGTGTGGATGTTGGGCTGCTTCTTCTTCTTCTTCGGTCCAGACGTCCTTGGCGCTGGCTCGGCAGGGCCAGAGCTATTCGATGCAGCTGCGGGTGGGGGTTCTTTCTTCATGTCTTTTCGCCTAGAATTGAACGAGGAAATGAACTCGACAGCTTGCGGTGAGTCGCCCAGCAGGTCGTTGAAATGCGCCGCGGCCTCGGCCTTGGACAAGGTGGACGCATAGTCGAGCATCTGCTTCAGCTCATCCTCCGGCAGAGGCAAAAGCCGGGAGAGCTGGGCTATCGACATGTCAGCGGTCGTAGTTGTGTCGCGGCGGCCGTCGAGGTGGTGTGTCGGGGAGTTGATGTCGTGGGATGTGATGTCTGTCGCAGCGATCAAAGTGGTGATGAAATGAAAGAGACCCCAGGGAACTGGATTTGACTGGCGGGGCTTTTTTCTGGTTCAGGTGCTCCCGGAGCTAGCGCCACAGCTCCCCCGCGATGACAGCAGCACAAGTCTAGTGGGGTCACCGGCTACTTTACCCACCCCGCCAAGGCTTCGCCGAATGACTCTTCGGCGTGTCATTGCTGGTTTTGCTGTCTCATTTTCAACTTGCTGGCGGCGGGCTTGGTTATGGGCAGCGAAAACACCAAAAATTGATTGAGAAAGTTGCTTGAAGCCCTACTCAGCCATAAATAGCAACAATATTCAGAGCACGCCAGGCTGCCAGCACTGTTTACCTCATCGGGCAAGATAAGCTCTGCAATTGGACCTGCCAGCCACAGCTTTCACAGGCGAAGTAGGTTGCGTCGTCTGAACTCGCGAGCAGATCGACAGCCCAACTTAAACTGGGAGACTAGCTAGGAACAGTGGTCGCTCTAGTAGAGAAGTAACGGGTGGTCTCTAGACGAACCGCCCGCGATGATACCGCGCACGACTCACAAAGTCTGTCTACGATGTAGATTCCGTCTTTCGCTTACGAGTTCAGCATTGCAGCTTGAAGGCTTAGTCATTGTACATGATGCCATAGCCTCTCGCTTTCACGACGTATCGCGAGTCGTAACTCATGTCGGTGGACGTTTGATGTGCTACTGCTGTATGCCGGGGAACGCTGTGTACCGGGAGGTGCCAGTCGGAGACGGACGGAACCCCGGCTGCAAGGGGCGGCCCGAGAGACGGGCCATGAGGTCATGGACACGGCGCCGGTAGCGGAGATTCACACAATTCTTTGGAGAAGGGGCATTAAGTGTCTGCTTGCAGGTAGCATACGCGGGTGAGACATTGGCTGAATTCTTCACTGGCATTGGTTGCATCCGACAATCGAAAATCGAGGCCGTCGGAGACGGGGAAGGCCTTCACATGAAGCAAGCCGGTTCTCGTCGACAGTGTAACATGTTCTCCGACGCATGCTGGGACATCCCGGGACAGGTGGCAGACATGAGGCCAGCTTGCGTCGATCCGTCCACCGAGGTCAATTGGAGATTGGAGTAGCTGGGCTGTCCAGTTGCTGCTGTTGTGGTTGACCTCGGGTCGAGGGAACGCCATGTATGGGGGGGGGGGGCTGGCTATCAAGATGCAGCTGCAGCACCAGTAGATGGGCACGTGCTCGTGATCGCGCATCCCCCCATCCGACGGTTCCTTTGCATCATCTCTGAGTGCCTGGCTGCCGGCGAACAGTCGGGGATCATATGTCGGGGAATAAGCAGAGAAAGATGACGGACACCGGCTCTCTGGGAGAGTTGGGGGAGGTGATGGTGGTGAAGAAGGCAAGGAAGTTGAGGAAAAAGAACGTACCATCTCCGGCGTTTCCCCGGGGTGTTCCGGCACCCCGTGACGCTAGCCCCACATCGGGGTTAGATCCACTCATTACCTCAGCATTGTTGGCCAGCGAGGTCACCGCATTCCCAGCTTGTTGCTCCACAACAAGTCAACAACCACTGAGCTGCGTCCAGTGGCCGTGCAGTGGAACTGGCTGCCCGGCGGCACCGTCCCATCTTTTTTTTGCGCCCACCACACAAGCAACCAAGCCGCATCTTCCAGTCCCGGTGTGGTGTGTGTGGTGTCCAGTCCCTCGCCGTGCCAACTTATTTCGCGCGCCTCTAATTTTTTAAACCTCTCCTCTGTCTTCCCTTCCTTTCCCTCCCATCCATCTACCAATTGTACCATCTACCCAACACCTCCCCCTCCGTCGCAAACATGTCTTTCGTCCAGCGCCGCATGTTCTCCGCTTCGGCGAGAAACGTAAGCACCGCCCAATCTTTTTCTTTATGCTGGAACACACATAGCTCCGCTGCATCCACCAAGGTGCCAGCTTGCCTCTCACTCCAAACTCCGAAAAGCCGACCTCGGGGCGCGGCATAGAGGGAGACAGCTTGAAGCTTCGTGAACCACTCACTGCCTGGTCCACAAACGTGCCTCCAGGAACACCAAGCATAGACTCAATGGCTGACATGATGCCTCCAAACAGCTCTCCAAGGTCACCGTCCTCGGTGCCGCTGGCGGTATTGGCCAGCCCCTCTCCCTGCTCATGAAGCTCAACCCCAGGGTCACCGAGCTTGCCCTCTACGACATCCGCGGAGGACCTGGTACGATCTCTGCCACTTCAGCCCCGTTGTTGCCGCGTCCAATTGACTAACTCTCGCTCTCCCCCAGGTGTCGCCGCTGACATCTCCCACGTCAACACCAAGTCCAACGTCAAGGGCTACGACCCCACCGCCACCGGTCTCGCCAGCGCCCTCAAGGGCTCCGAGATCGTCCTCATCCCCGCCGGTGTCCCCCGCAAGCCCGGCATGACCCGTGACGACCTCTTCAACACCAACGCCTCCATCGTCCGTGACCTCGCCAAGGCCTGCGCCGAGTCCTGCCCCGACGCCAACATCCTCGTCATCTCCAACCCCGTCAACTCCACCGTCCCCATCGTCTCCGAGGTCTTCAAGGCCCGCGGCGTCTACAACCCCAAGCGCCTCTTCGGCGTCACCACCCTCGACGTCGTCCGCGCCTCCCGCTTCGTCTCCGAGATCAAGGGCTCCGACCCCAAGGACGAGAACATCACCGTCGTCGGCGGCCACTCCGGCGTCACCATCGTCCCCCTCTTCTCCCAGAGCAACCACCCCGACCTGAGCTCCAACGCCGAGCTCGTCAACCGCGTCCAGTTCGGCGGTGACGAGGTCGTCAAGGCCAAGGACGGCGCCGGCTCCGCCACCCTCTCCATGGCCTTCGCCGGTGCCCGCATGGCCGAATCCCTCCTCCGCGCCGCCCAGGGCGAGAAGGGCGTCGTCGAGCCCACCTTTGTCGACTCTCCCCTCTACAAGGACCAGGGCATCGACTTCTTCTCCTCCAAGGTCGAGCTCGGCCCCAACGGTGTCGAAAAGATCCTGCCCCTCGGCAAGGTCGACGCCGCCGAGGAGAAGCTCCTCGAGGCCTGCTTCGCCGACCTCAAGAAGAACATCGCCAAGGGTGTCGCCTTCGTCGCCCAGAACCCCCCCAAATAAATTTGTCTTGTTTTGACCAAAGACCAAAACAAAGCATAAAAATGGGCACAGAGATGTTGTAGTATATGGATACACATGGTTGAGTAGGGTTGAAAAATTCAGCTCTCGGCCAGTTCTTGTCCCGACGAAGAAATTCCAATTGCGTTCGTTGGGATGGTGTACGGCTGGGATAAGGGTAAAGATGGAGGCGCAAAAGTCGTTTCCAAACTCGTGGCATCGCCTTTAGGCCTGCCTACTGTACCATACAATTTTAAACATGCTTGACTTCATGACTACCCAACCTGTTCCTCCAGATGGTTCGCAATATGACGTGCTTGTTTTACGTACAATCTTTTCACCATCGCCAAGTTCAAAATCGCCTGCCAGAATTTCACCGCATCTTGCAACACTCATGTCCATTTGAAGGAGGACAACATCGCTTATGAGATCTAGGCCTGGTCCAACCCTCCGACGTATCTCCCTCGTCTCATTAACAAGAATCGTTGCAATGAAGGCCCTGGCTGGTTGCTGGGGGTCTTTGCCGGTGGCTTCGAAATGGGATCATTATCCTGCCACTCATCATGTCCCAGGGGTAGATTTGGAACAGAGGGACAGAGACGAAGAGGGACAGAGATAGTAGTAGAGATAGAGACGGAGCGGGATGGAGACAGCTTTAGTACGGGTAGGAACGTCTGGTTTTACTTATACGAGAATGAAGCGCATTACATGTCATACGTGTGATTTCATGACTTTATATGCTGATGTCATCTCACTATCATACACGTCCAATACATCTCGCTATCTAGACATCACCCTTTTTCTTCTAATTGACAAGCAGAAAGTACTGGTCTAATCTATCGTCGGCCTTGTCTCCAGGCCTCGAGTTGTTGACGGCGCTCCTCAACCTTGCGCTCGAACTCGGCCACCTTCTCCAGGCGCTTCTGCTCCTCCTCCTCGTCCTTCTTCTTCTGTTCGGCCTCCTTGCGAATTCTCTCACGCTCGAGCTGCTCCGGTCGGCGGGCAGCGATGTCACGGGGACGGTAGTCGGAGAAGAGGCGCTTGAGGACGACCTCGATGATCCAGCAAGCGGCATAGTCCAGAACCATAACGCCAGTCATGGTGGTCTTGAACTCCTCAGTGAAGGGCACAAGCTTCATCTGCTCGTTGATTTCGGGAATGAATTCCATCGAGCAGGAGAAGGCCAGGGCCGAAACACCAACAATGCCGTAGAACATACCCTTGTTCTCGCGAAGAGACTCACGGAAGGGGCGTCCCTGGTAGTTGATGGCGAAGGTGCTGATTTGCTGGATGAGCTGGAGCAGGTACACAGCGCTGTTCAACAGACTGGGAGCGAACTCGGCCTCAAGGTCAACGTCACCGGAGCGGCTGATTTTTGTTAGTTACTGTTCTCCTACGCTAAAACATGAAAACTTACGGCTCAAGCTTGTCACAGAAGCGGGCAATGTAGATGAGGGTTACAACGTGGACAGCAAACTGTCCCAGGATAGATCCGATGATGTAGAAGTTGAAGATGTTGGGCTGAGGACGCTCCTTGGACAGACCCTCAACAACACGGGCGCGAGAGATAGACAGGAAGCAGACACTCATCAAGATACCGCTGATAGTGTACTGGCCATCACCAAACTTGATACCCTCGAGGTAGAGGACACTGAGACTGTAGGCGCTGATGAGGCAGTTGAGGGCGAGAATCTTGTACGTCTGGATGGTTGCGACGAGAGTGCAGCGACCCTGGCGGATGATGTTGGGGACGGCAATGACATTACGAAGCTTGCTGGTGAAGGGAGCTGCCACGGAAGCGTCGCCGAGCTTGAGGGTGGGAGGCTCATCGTCTCCGCCCATCTCACTCTCCATCATCTGGGAAGTCATCTTATCGGCAAAGCTAGCAGCCTTGGCTTGAGCCTGCGCCTGACGAGCAGCCTTGGGGTCCTGATTGTTCAAAAGTTGCTGGGCACCCGGAGAGGTGACGGTCTCGATGGCGGAAACGCCGTTGGTCTTCATCCACTCCTCGGGGCTAACGTTCTTCCTCTTAGCTTCGCGCTCGACAGCCTTGCTGAAGTGAGGGTTGCTAGTTCCAGGGGGGTAAAGATGGGCAATCATGACGGGAACAGGAGGAGCCGGCTGGTTGAAGCGCTTCATGAGGTCCACCTGCTTCTGGTAGATCTCCTTCATCTTCGTGTTGCGAGAATGCTCGGCAATACGAGTGAGGTCCTCAGGAGTGCCGTTAAGAAGAGCGATACCAATATGAGCCTGCTTGAGAGCGCCAACGTCGTTGGTTCCGTCACCAGCCATCAAAGTGTAGTATCCCATGTCACGGAGGCCAACCAGGATATCTTCCTTCTGCTTGGGAGAGACACGCGCATAGACCCAGGTATGGCGCAGAATCTCGTACCAGCCGACTTGGTCCTTGAACTTGGCGAGGGCGTAACCTGTGACGCAGAGGTCGTAGGACTCGAGGATCTTCTTGTCGATAGGCTTGGACGGGTCAACCGGGATACTGATCTTCTCATCAACGCTATGCCAGATGAGCTTATCGCCATCGGCGTTGTCCTCGGGGGCATCCAAAATCAAAACATCGCGGTCGACAATCTCTACGTCTCTGGCGACGTAAACGGCGGTAAGCGGGTTGTCTCCGGTAATCATAACAACGCGGTGGCTGCTCTCGTTGAGCATCTGCACAGCCTGCTTGGCATCATCCTTCAGGGGGCAAGAAAGAACCAAGAATCCAGCAAAGGTAAGTCCAGACTCGACGTTCTCACGCTTCAGGTCGTTGATCTTGCTGGCTCCCAACTCGTTATCAACGGTAAGCTGCTTGTAGGCAAGCGCGAGGACGCGGGACCCACGGCGAGTAAAGTACTTGAAGGTCTCCTCGTAGTCGGCGGGAACAGTAGTCAGTCTTTTCTGGATGGTCTCGGGGGCGCCCTTGACAGCGACGAAAGTACCACGGATACGGTTGCCCTGCTTATCCGCACCGTTGACGGTAGCGACTGAGGCCTGTCGCTTGAGAGCCGAGGAAAACTGGAAGCGGCGCTTGATCTGAACAGTTCCGCTGACACCAGTAGTAGCGGCAGTAGTGGGCTTGCTGGCGAGAGTGTCGTTACGGCCGACAGTCCATCCCAAAGAGGTCAGAGTAGCCTTTTCCATGGGGTCACCAACAACGTCTCCCTCATCAAGCTTGACAAGAGCGTGCGCGGTAGCAAGAACCAGGGTGGTATCCAGACCGATCTCGTTGACAGGGGTCATGTGGGAGTGGGCGCCATCAGACTCGCGAGGGGTGCTAGTGCCCGAGTGTCCAAGGCCCAGACCAGCAATACCCTCAACAACCAGGTCCTCGCCGGTGAGAGTACCAGTCTTGTCAAAGCAAGCAACATCAATACGTCCGGCGTAGGGAATGCGGAAAGGCTCGGTGCAGAAAATAGCGAACTTGGCGAGGGCAGCCAAACTCGTGTTGACCGCCAGACTAAGCTCCATGGGCAACTCGGGGGGGACGACACTAGTGACGATCAAGACGCAGTCGAGCAGAAGCTTGGAGCGCTTGCGGTCCTTCTTAACACCCTCATCCCAGACATACCAGGAGGCGGCGATCGCGAAAATGAGGAGGAATAAGATGAAAAACAAAGCCTCAACATTGTTGGCAGAGACGCGCTCGGTGGAGTAGATCATGGTGCGAACCAGGCTGCCCTGAGAAGTCTCGAAACCAGTCTTCTGCACGATGGCCATGGCGCCGTTGTCGGGAGGGGGAGGAACGCCAGAGGCAAGCTTGGGTTTCTCCTCATCAGGGTTGCCGTGGGTGATCTGAAGAACCTTGGTACCACCCCAGAGGAAAGCGTTCTTGTCCAGGGCTTCGGGCTCGAGGTTAGCATCGGCAGGGCGAAGCCGAATGGATTCCTTGAGGAGAGGAGTACTCTCGCCGGACAGCATGGCCTCGTTGACAATGGCAGTTCCTTCAACAAGGAGCATGTCGCAGGCAACACCGCTGTCCTCCTTAGTGCGGCCAACGGAAACCAGATCGCCGGGAAGAAGCTTGTCACTCTGGATCTCGGTCCACTTGCCCAGACGGTAGACGTAGACATCGTAAGGCTTGATGCTCATTCCACGGAACTCGTTAAGCGTCCGCTGACGCTGCCAGACGACGGTGCTCTCGAAGGCGACAAGCATGAAAAGGGTGAAGAGGGAGTAGTACCAGTACTCATCGAGCATCCACAAGCCAACGCAGAAGATCTGGAAGACGAAGAAGGGGGCGACGGCGTGCTCCTTGAAAAGCTCGGTGAAGGTAGGAACGGGAATATCGAAAGCGTTGGGGCCATAGTGCTCCTCGATCCTCGTCAACTCCTCCTGCGTCACGATACCCTTGGATTGCTGGTAGCGTGCGATTTTGGGCTTGGGCTCGAGGTCGATGTCGTAGGTAAGGGTTCGGAAGGTCTTCTCTTCGGGAACGTAGATGAAGCGTCGCTTCTGGAAGAGGAAAGAGGTGTTGATCTTGCCTCCGACCTGTGGAAGAAGTAGCTGTCAGCGACACTGCACCAGGACGCCCTATTGCCACGAGAATGCAACACGGCGCGGGACGTAGCGTCTTACCTTGTCGCGAACCAACTTGCAGATCTCGGCGGATCCGGCATTGGCGACGGGAATGATCTTGATGAGCTCGGCCTCGTCAATTGACTTGGCGCGGGTCGCGGTGAAGAGGGCCTGGAGGTTGACGCTCCAGTGGGTGCTCAACCAGAAAAGGGACTGGAAGGTGACGATGGTGCCGATCCACACAAAGGTCCATTCCTCGGATGCGATGTGCTTCTCGTACAGTTCTTGGGTGAGGTAGTAGCGTAAAAAGATGGGCCAGATAATGGCGAAGGGCCAGACATAGGCGTGGAAGTGCGTTGGCAGGGGCTTCCACAGCTCAGCCAGCTTGATCTGGTTGTTGTCCACGAGGGGCGCCATCGTGAGCGAAAGCGCAACGCGCGGGACCAGACGTCAGGCGAAAAGGGAACAAAAGCTCGTGGTCGGTGTCAATCTAGTGTATAGAGGGCATCGAACAAGACGGAGATAAGAGACACCCGACGACGGCAAGGGCGAGGACGACGACGAGGGACGAGGTCGGACGACGGCGGCGGCGGTGGGGTTGGTGATGGAGTAGAGAAACGAGAGGATTTCTGGTTTCTGGTTATCTGTACTTTTTCGCGATGGCGAATTGGGAAGGCCGCTACTGCCCCGGTACCTTCCACCTGTACCTAATAGGCCTACATGGAAGGAGCCAGGGGTCCACGCACCTACCCCACGGGTCACTGTGAGTGGCCACATCAGGCCAAAAAGGGCCCTACGCAATCTTTATTACCTGGAAGGAACCTTAGAGTGACGCTACCACAGGTGCCTGCCCCAACGCACCTTTCCAGATTCCGGATTTCTATGATGACTAAGCCGTCATTATCCGATCTCGGTGAGAGCTCCGTGGGGAAGGTGAGGCCATCGCAACTTCCACATGCTAGCAGAATTTAGCAGTACGTATAAGAGCCGCGTTAAAGCCAGAATAGGTAAGTAAGGACCGATGAGGTGCAACGACAAAATTGGCGACAATCAAGGAGGATGAGGAACAAGGACGAAGGAAGAGGAGGAGGACGACGACGACGGAAAACGAGAAGAAAAGACGGCAGAGGGCGCCAACGAAGCAAAACAAAAATTTGCGACAGTAAACACGGCGAGGAAGATATGGACGAAAAAGGACGGTAGAGGAGGAAGACAGAGACGGGTGATAGGGTAAGGGGGCGGGGAAGAATAGGGACGAGGAAGGACGACGAGGAAGGACGACGAGGAAGGACGACGAGGAAGGACGACGAGCTAGAGTGGCGCCCAAGGCAGAAAGAGAGAGTTTCATGAATTATTTTGAGCTGGAAAAAAAGGAAATTGTTTGTTAGGTATGTGTGTCTAGATGTTCTACTCATCATCTTCATCTACCTTTGGATATCATCGCCCTCGTCTCCATAACGCCTTCCAAATCATCGTATATCGTAACTCGTTTTGACCACGACTAAATCTGTCGTTCAAACCTTCTTCACTCATCACTCCTCTGCTACGCCTGCAATCACGCTCCTGCGATTTGCCCGTCCCGCCATCCAGGCCTCTTGGGCGACCTCTTGGCCCGACTTGGATGGCTTGATGTAATCGGCAATGCGTTTGGAGATGCTTCCCTGGTGCTTCAGGCCATTGTTGTCGCCTAGTGGCTGTCCGTACATGAAGTTGCGCTCGTCCTCGGCAGCCGTGGTCATAATACTCGCCCGCTTTCCAACCGAGTAATACGCACTGTCCCGCTTGCCGCTTTTTTGCGTGTTAGCTACGGCGCTTGGATTGGTTGAGACCGGATCTGGCCTGTATGCCGTGTACGTGTTGTAGGTATTGTCACTGTATCCATAATGACCGGAGCGACGGGCGAGGTTGCGCCACATCTGTGCATGATGTTCACGCTCGGCGGCCTCAGCATCGGCTATGAATCGCTCGAAGTCCGTCATCTCCTTGCGAGGCTTCTCTTCGGCCTGCTCTTTGGAATGTTCAGACCGGCCATGTGAAGTCTTGTCCTGCGTGGCCTGTCGTGGTGGAGATGCCTGCTTCGGGACCTGTTGCGATGTCGGCTCTACCGTCTGTTGTTGCGCGTGACTTGGCGGATCAAAGGGAGCCTCCATTTCCACTGGCGACGCAGACTTGGGAGGCGTCAGGTCTCTTGCGTAAGGATCCGCAATCAGGTTGAAGCTGTGCCGTTGAGATGAACGTGGACGGGATGGAGGCTGCGCCTTCGCGGGTCCCTTGCCATTTGCCGATGAGGCATTCGAGTTGCTGTGCAGCAGCTGATGCTGTTGAGGCCGGTGATCGACGGCAGTGGGTTCTCTGGTGGTCACAACCTCAATTTCACTGCTCTTTACAATCTCAAGTCGGCGGTGCAGTTCCTGAGGAGACGGTCCGTCGAACTTGGAAGAGGACGATAGCTCTCGTGATCTGCGCTTCTCGGCCGACGGCGTACGGTTTCTCTGCTCCGGTGCGACCTGACGTTGAGGCTCGTCCTCCAAGGCTTCGGCAGTGATTGTGGCCAGGGGGCGAACGCCATTCTCGCCGTTACCGAGAGAGAAGCTGTGGCGATGCTGGCGCGGCGGGTACGTTGTGCGCGAAAAGTCTGATGCCGCATGCTTTGGCACATACACCGGCCGAGACACCGGAGCGGAAGCAGGTGTTTCGGCATCGGCGTTAGCTGCGTTGTCGTCGCCAAAGTCGTTGGCCCCAGATCTAGACCAGAAACGCTTGCCGAAACTCGGCTTCGCGCGCAGCTTGGGTTGCGCAGACGGCGTTGAGGAAGACATGTGCTGCTGGTGTTGAGCCTGGGAAGACTGAGAATGCGGGTTGTGCTTGTGTGGGGCGATGGCGCCAGTAACCTGGTTCGGGCTGGCTTTCGCTTGCTGGGGTTTCGCAACCTGTCGTAGGAAACGGGGGACAGACGAGGACGATGGGTTTTGGGCATCCGAGACAGTCTGGGCCTCCTGTGTCTTGGTCGTGTCGCCTAGCTTCTTTTGCGAAGCGTGGGACGCGGATAATGGCATAGACTGTGCCTGCATTTCGTGGTCCGTGGTCTCATCGGCATTGGCCAACGGATCAGACGAGTTGCTGTTCTCGTGGTCGGCTCCGGCAGACTGGCTCGTGTTGTCGGCGCTCGTGGAAAGCGACCGCTTCTTATTGTTTTCGACGTCTTTGTCCTTAGGGGCCAATCGCCGGCGCATGAGGCGGCCCAGTATCCCTGGCTCGTCTGCTGAAGACGTGGGAGCTTGTGACGACGTAGCACCGGGATCAAGACTTGTCGCTGCATCCGAAGCAGGCGCGGCACGGGAGTCAATGTCTGTTGGAGGAGGCAGTTGCTCCTGCAACTCGGGCTGCTCATCAAGCCCTGGCAGCGGTGCAGCCATGCGACCGTTTTCGATGCGACCCTGTCCTTGGGTCTGGGCATGGGTGGCAGGGTTGGCAGGGTTGGCAGGGGATCCTCCACGGAGGGTGTTCTGGGGATTGTGGAGTTGGGGACCACGTCGCATTGAGGATTGTATGGGTCCTGATGTTTGCTGCTGCTGATGCTGGGATGGCGGGGGTACTGGCTCAGCTTCGCTCTGTTGTTGCCGCGGTGTCTTCATTTGTCGTTTGCTGAACTTCCGAGTGAGAAACCGGCCGAGGGCTTCCTTAACACCGGCTGAGGGCTGGGTAGTAAGGGGGCTCGGTTGAGAGGGCGATGGCACGCTTCCAGTCTCCTGTTGCTGTGCCTGTTGCTGGCGCTGAAAATGCGAATAAGACGGCGCTGATCCGAAAGATGCGCTTGCAGGCGCTATCATAGACAATGGTCGTGGTCGCTTGGTGGGAGCGGCGGCATCCAGCTTTTTGTTGATTTTCGACAACCGACGACCATCCGATGCTCCCGACTGTGTTGCTTGGCCCTGGTCTTCTCCCTGCTCCCTATTTTCCGAGTCGTCCTCTTGCTGGTCCTCCAAGGTGACCGATATAGCTGCATCTGGCCGCCAACTCCACCGATTGTAAGACAGCCGGCGCGATGAGACACCACCCGCAGCGCCAGGCTGCACCTTTTTCTCGGCTGGGACACTGCCCTCGCACGAATCGGGATTGTTGGTGGGTGGGATCAGAGGCTCGTTGCTGGCAACGGCATTCTCTCGGGCATGGGCTTTTCGCGGTGCTCCCGACCACGACCAGCGATTAGGATTGATCATTGCTATATATCCCGGCTTCTCGCCGCGAAGTGGCTGCCGTCCAGCTTGGTCTATGAAAACCTGTCAGTCCACGCCAACTCCTAGGATCCAATACCATGGAAGGGCGCCCACCCTTTAATTTTCGGCTCAGCGCAGAGGGGAATCTTTCCTGCGTTGGTATTTGCCGAGCGGCAAACGCAGCGCTGCACCAGCAGATTGAGGCTTGTCGGCAGGCTGGAAGTGGGACCAAAGTGTGCTCCGAGGCGGCGAATCAGGAGAAGAAGGCCGTGTAAGCAGCAAGCTGAGCTGGCAGCCGGGCGATTCGAGATGAGAGATGGCAGTCGGTAATGTGCCTGGTCCAACGACGGACAGAAACAGAGGAATGAAGGTATATGAGGACTCGGCGCATTTAGAATTATAAGGCGAATCTAGGCAGTTTTAGAGGCGCCTGCGCGGGCGGAGGCCATGACATGGAACGGCGGCACATCCACAAAACTGCAAGTACTTTCGAGGTACTCTTCCATGAAGCATCCATCACGTACATTGGGCAGGCGTGGAGGCCAGATGCTCCTCCTCGCGCCGCCCCGGTCTTTTCATGCATTAGGTGTCTGCCATGTAAGCACAGTAACTTTGCTGATACTTGACGGCGCAAAGCAAAGCGGACGATCAGGATTGCTCGCTGGGCGACGAAGAAAGAGAACGCGAGTCCCGTGTGGCTGCTTAAGCTTTGACGTACTGTCTGTCTGAAGCGCGGCACAACAATAGAATCCGATCAACCAAACGTGTCTCCTGAAGCGTCCAGGCGGCGAGTTTCGGTAATTTGGGTGGCAGATGGACTACTCGCAAGCCAAAGCGCTATTCCGCGCGGGCCCGGATTAAGAGCCAACTGCACCAGCCCCGAGTCAAAGTGTTGATTAGCGTCTTCTTAGGAGAGCGTCACGAACTGTGACGACTATTGTTTTTTGTGTCCGCCATATTCTTGGGGTTCTTTTCGTTGTTCCGGCTGGCCGGGAGAACATTGGAGACAACGTCATATCAACACGGCCAGATTATTGCTCACACTGGTCATCTGGGGCCGCACAGATTCAAAGGCGAATCCTGGTGAATTTGCGGAGACGTCCGGGGATGAAGATGCTAGCCCCACGGAGGCTTCATCGGGCGGATGGACAAGCATTTACGTGGCGGAGAGGGTGCGCCGCAGTAGATGCGGTGAGAGGGACTAAAACGCCATGTTGTGGCCAGGAGTTGCGTGTCTGAGGCGGCTTACTGCATGCCAGCCAAGGCCGGATAAGGGGCATGATCGACTAATACAACGGTGACGATGTGTGTTTGGTTTCCGACAGTAGGCCAGGGACACGATGGCAGAGAGGAAGATTCAGACGGAAGGCGCCGTTTCAATGGCTCAATCCATCCCGAGTGTGTTGGTCGAGACAGGCGTATGGATTGGCCATTCAGGGCAAGAGGCTTGTTTTGGAAGATAGATCTGGTGGGCGCGCGGGGTTTCTTTGTCAAAATCAAGCACATAGGGAGGCGCAAGTCCCGGTAGTCGATGGTTGCGAGATGCAGGATCCAAGCCCTGACCGTTGAGGGACGGGAGAGGAAACGAAGTTCTTTGTTTCCATGAGCTTGTCGTCTGTAACGCAAGTCCGGGGCGCAGTGTCTGACCCCAGACTCGTCTGAGCATGCGCCGCAGTGGCTTCTGGTGAACATGTCGATGAGGTAACTGGCTCGGGAAGGCAGCAGCCTCTCCCACAGCTAGTTTGCGAGAGGAGACGTTTGGCTGCTCCTGGTCGTGTCTCTTGATTTTGATCCAAAAAGGCAGAAAGCTTTGGCTAAGAGGGTGTCCTCCAACAGCACCATTTATAGGTGGCGCGCGACTATAGACATGGGGGGTGGATTGCGAGTGGCCGACTGTATGTCTGAATCAGCGGTGGACTGCCCGAAAGAGAGAAGCCATGTTCTGAAAGGGGAATAGAGCTTAGAGGGCGTCTTAGTCGGGTGGTCGCATCGTAAGACGAAGAACGAGTAAGGGCCGGTCTCAAGGGCGACTTTGAGCGGGGGAATTTCCCGACAAGCGCCGGGTTGAGAAATGATTTGGGAAAAACGGCTCAAACTCGTGTACCTAAAGTAGGTGGATGAAGATTGAACGAAGCCGGGAGAGAAGAAGTCAAGCAGTCGGGTCTGAATAAGGTGTCGGATTACCAGGAAGAACGAACGCTTGGTCCGTGGCCGTGAGGGGAGGGGATTGAATCTCTCCCACAAGGTAGTTGTCGATCAAGATCGCCCTTTCCTTGCTCAGATGGAAGCAGCCAAGTCCTTCCTTCCACCTCACTTTCAGGACCTTACCTAAGGCAAGGAAGGTGAGGGTGGAATTCTCGGTGAAGGAAGGAGCCGATTACTGCTTCCTTCAATAAAGCACTTAGGTTGGGTTCTGAGGGTGGTGCCTGCCCTCTGCCTGCCGGCGCTCGCGGAAGTCGCAGGTGCCAAGGGGGAACCTAAAAATTTGAACTTGGACGAAATGCATGGAAGTCGCGATGGGGGGTGTTGGCTCAAGGGCGCCCTACGGTGGCAACTTCCCCAGGTTCACGTACTGCAACAACCCCTGCGCCAATCAACTGAGAGATGCGCAACGAGCATGGAGTGGCTTGTGCTGCATGGCCCTGGCCCTGTATCCGTAAGGGAAGAAGGCACCCCGGATCGTCATCTCCCACGCCACATTAGAGCCAACAACCGTCGGGACCACCAAACGCCAACAACACCACGGCGACTGGACCGAAACAACAACAGAATCTCCAAACGGGACTCCCCTTTCTCGCAAGCTGTAGCCTGCTTGTGCTAGCCTGGTTATCTTGGCTGGTCACGCGGGAAAACGGCAGTCGAGAAACCATGGGCGTTCCGGGTGTAAACGCTCTCTTCAGAACGCAAGCCATCTCTCCCCTTCGCCCGCATTGCCGCCGTAACGCCTCGTCCCGGACTCCTCGATTGCTTCACATCCAGCCATGTCTACCGATCTCTCCCCGAGTAAGCTTATATCGAGATCAAAAAACTTCACCACGGATTTCTGTCCATGCCAACTCTAACGCTATGGTCTAGACTACGTCTTTCCCCAGGTTTTGCGCCCTCCAGTGACGTTTCTTCAGTTTGTCCTTCGAAACGCTTACCGGTAACACTGCAGCTCAGCCCAGCGTGAAGGGGCGTCTATGGCTTTCCTCTTGCATTGGCGAATCGCAAATCGTCGTCGCGAGCTGAGCGTGGTGTTGTAGGTGTCTTCGCATGCGGATCTTGCCGTATTATCCTGCAAGGCTCGGCATCTCGGTCGATGATTTTTCTGCCATGGACGTGATCGTGGCGGATGTTCGATCAAAGCCTCCAGCAAAACCTCCAAGCGATACCTCAATTCTTAGCTGATGCGGCGTCGCCGCCATCATCGTGGCCGTCTCCTGGTTAAGGAAAGTAGTACCCCCTCACGGACTATAGCGTGCTGGGAACGCATCCTGTAACCATGCCTCGAAGCTACTGCACCCTCGGCCCACGAGTTCCTCTCACCACGAAGGCAAATCCAAGGCTTCCACGCCAAGTTTCAGCCGCATCTCCGATTCCACGGACAATGGATCTCGTCTCGGAGAATATTTCCTTGCATTTCATGTACGTGTGGTCTCCGGAATTCAATGAGGCCTCGTGATACATCTCTGCTGTTGTCCGGGCAGTGCCCTGCATCAAACACACAGAGGGCTTTACCACGGTCATAGGAATTCATGACTGCCAATCTAGACCCTGAATATGTCGACAGCCTGGCCAGATGTGCCCATAGACGCGGATCTTTGGATGTGGTTAATAAGCCAAGGATCCAGACAATTCTTGGGACAACTTAGGGCCTCCCGAGTTTCTGGATCAACGCGCTTGGTTGGATGCCCACACGTGGCGAAAGGTGCCAGCAGCAATTCGTCGCGCAAACTATCGACGCCTAGGTCGCTGGAAGACGAGCTGGAACTCGTCTAGCGCGCACTTCGTCAGGAGGTTGGTTGCCCCTCACCCGCGCGAAGGCAAGAGTACATCAAAGTGACAAAACTTGCCTCGAGCTGAAGCCGACACTCAGACACATGGCTGAGCTGAAGTGCTTCTTCCTTCACCCACCCCCAGAATCGAAGACCTATCAAACCCCGTTGACATTCAGCGGGAACCCAGCCTGCGAGACTGGACCCTTTCCACGGCCCATCTAGGCGTGCGCAGACTTGAATAGAGCAACGTCAGAGCTCGGCGCCAACCTGACTCGGCATGGACCGGCTCGAGCACTGTGCATGTCCCTGTCACAGCTACATACACATGATCGGGTTCGGTTTCGTAGATGCTCGTTCCTAGGAGACGTTTTCGGGGTGCGTTCCGGTTGATGTGAGTGGCTCGTTAGGTGTTACGCAATTTGGTCACCTTGGGACGCATCGTGGGGGCGGGCATGATCAGGGAAAAAGCAGTTGCAGGCAGTGAAAAAAAGATCGTCATTATCATGAGATGCGCCTCTGAGCGCAATGATATTTATCTATGGGGGTATAATTCAACGCTTTCCTATCCATGCAAGAGATGCCTTTGCTGAGCATCTTTCAATATCAATGATCCCTCGCAACGAATGCTGGGCCACTCGAGTTCTTCAGTCCCTCCAACACCATGGCGGCTTCTGCCTCCTTCTGGGACTGTGCCTCGATCTGTATGCACTGCGGGACAGTCCATCCAGGCGCCCGCACCAGCTGATTGATAAGAACGTCGCTCAAATAGAATGGATCCGAAATCGTCCGTCTTCTGTGAACCACGCGACTCTGCGAGTTAGGCGAGATGTCTGTGAGAGGTCCTGGGGGAGAATGTACAGGTTCCATCGCGGGCGGCTTCGATGGTGTCGCCTCCGGCATCTGGCTCATGCGAAGAGGCGGAAGCTTCACCGAATCCTCCGTCGACACACGTTGAATGTCGGAGAGAATCTTGGGCGACACTGCCAACGGCTTGTCCTTACTTCGCGAAACTTTGACTTTCGGAGTCGGTCGTGGGAGAGCCCTGGCTGATGTTGAGCGGGGTGTGCCCGTGAAGGAGACCTCTACGCCGTCGATCGTCTTCCGCTTCCTCTTTCTAGGATTCAGCTTGACGGCCGCGACCATGGAGTTTACCTCCACCCCCGACATGACAACATCCTCGACGACCAGGTCGCTCCGTGGCAGACCACTTGTTGCGATCGAATTGTGGGCGTCCTCCAATGCTCCGACCGGCACCTCCTGAGAGCCTTGCGCATCATTAGGATTGATGTCAGGTTGCGCGGGCTCGGGTAGCGCGGCTGGTGCAGACTTCCTGGACCGCTTCGTTCTTGGCTTGCTGACTTTTGAAGGTGCAGAGCAGGTTGAGGGCGGGGTTTCGGTGCCAGAAATGCGGCGAAGCTCCATCCTTATCTTCCAGGTGAGGTAGGCCGCGCTGGTTTTGTCATCTCGCACTGCCATCGGGCGTTGAGGCGAGGACTTTGGTGGGGTATCTTGGGAAGCCTTCTTCTGCTGCGGTTGTTCGTCCTGCGTCGGCTCGACCTTAACTGAGCTGTTTGCAGGTCCTCGACTTTCCGCGAGCCCCTGGATCTCCGTGGTCTGTATTTCCTGCTCTTGGGTTTGCGGCTGATGCTTTTCGGCTGGATCTGTCGTCTCGATGGTCCTTTTCGGTATTTCTGGCATCTCTGCCTTGACGGCCGCCTCCGTTGTAAGTACTGGAACCTCGCCGCATGGCCCAGCCGTATCCAGGTTTGTCTTCCCGTCTGCATTGTTCTGGCGCTTCTTGGCCTTATCGTTGACTTCCTTCTTTTTCTTTGGCAGCTTCGTTCCTGGGGGAAGCCACATCAATGGAATTCTTTCCTTCAGGTTGGACACCCAAGCGTCGCAATCCCACTGCACCCAATAGTCGATGATATCCCCCCATGAGCTTTCAGGAGGCTTTGTAAAGTTGACAAAAACAACCTTTCCGCCTCTATTGTGAATGGTCTTGGCAAACTCTCTGACCAGGACCTTCAGACCGTGCACCTTCAGCGAGGTGCCAAGGATGAGAAGGAGATCAGGACATAGTCCAAGGTCATGTGTGACAATTGGGGATATCAGGTGGGCATTGGGATGCTCTTCGCCGTAGAGGACAATGTCTGGTCTCAGCTTGCCCACACCTAGTGCTCTCTTGCCCCTCTCCTGCCTCGCCGCGGTGGCACCCGCACAGTAAGGACATTCGGGTTGACGGCCAGAGAGGGTTTCGTGCGCCCGTCCTTCGTCGTCCCAGTCACAGATTTTGCCGCAAAGAAAGCATCGCAGAGACTCGAGAGATCCATGGAGGAACACACATTCAACGCCACTGGACTTCTTTTCCTGTCGTGGAGGTTGTTGCTCAGTCAGGCCACGAGCCAACACTTGCTCAATCCCCTCCCCGTCTTCACTCGTCTGTGATTGAGTTGGCTCATTATTTGCTTCCCGGGAATTTCCAGCGTCCTTTGGAATCTCGTCGTGACTGGGTGGCGTGGGTGGAGTCGGCACTTGTGTCGTCGACTTCCTTGAAAAGCGACCCCGGTGGCCAGGCCCATCATGAAGTGAGGTCGTAAGCCCCACCTTCTCCTCGATCTGATCAATATTCTGCGTGTAGCACCGGACCAGCTTGCCACGGTTGCGCAGGTGGCCGATGAAGTGATGAGACGCCGTAGGCTGAACATCCTTGACCTTTTGTCGTAATGTAGTGGCAAAAGTGTAGAACACCGAAGTTCGTAGAGGGTCAGCCCAGATGGAGGCGTCGAAAAGGTCCCTGCCTTTGATGTTGGGTAATGCCTTGGCCGGGTTGGAAGATGGAGGTGTTTCGTCGATTTCTGAAGACACTGTACTGCTTGCTGTACTGGAAGATTGCCGGCTCGTCGACGAAGAAGCCTCCCGGAATGGGTCGGATAGAATTGTTGGGGGAGATGAAAGGGGTGACGAGGAGAAGCCTAGGGGTGGTGATGACAGAGGTGAGCTGAAATCGGAGTGAAATCTAGTGGTTCTAGGTGTAGTGAGTTGTGCGGCGATCAGGTCAGCCCTGAATGACGAAGCGGCCGGGGGAAGAGTTTCCTCAGACTCGTCATTGGGCCAGGTCTGGCGTGGTCTCAACGGGCTTGAGGCGAGGCTTGGAGGCTCAATGTCGGCCGCTTGCATCGAATTCAGCGAAGAGGTTAGTAGGGACCTCTTTCGCAGTTCAGCGGAGTTCGTTTGGTACGCGTTTGGTCGCCGCCTGGGATCGGGGCTCGCGGAGCGCCCTCGGACGCGCAAGGAGGTGCGGATGGGGCTCTGCGCTCGAAGTTCGGCTGCTGAAGGAAAGCTTCGCGCCGGTGCCGCATCTCGTGGTGGGCTCGGGGGTAATGATTGCGCTCTCCTGGAACGTCGAAGCTCGCCCTGTGCCTTCGCGGGTGTGCTCTGGCGGCTGACGGTATATTTGGTGAATTCCAATGCCTTCTTGGCCCTCGACCTAGTACTGGGAGGGCTGGGCATCAGATTCACTGCACCCTCTCCTGCAGAACACAGCCTCTCATCGTCGGATCCTACAGTCTCTTGTGCGTTGGCTGTTTGCATGTCTTCCTTCGGTATACATATTGCCGAGTCCTCGGAGGAAATCTTCTGTCGCTTAATGGGTCGTTCTGCCGGGGGGGTGTCTGAGCATGACGATGCAGAAGATGATGACAGACGCCTGCCTCCCGGAACATTTTCTCTGCTTGCGGCGTCGAATTGAGCTTGAATTAGAGAGTACAGTCCATTTTCGCTTCGAAAATCCTAGAATATTGTTAGAAAAATCGAGGAACTGTGGCAGTTGCGGTTGCTCACCGGTATGCCAGAATTGGTACTAATGCCGGCACCGGTAATGACCACGACTTTGCGAGCTTTGAAGAGAGCGTCGGCAATGCCCTGCAGAAGCACATCTTCCGTGGGGGTTACCTGAGTGGTAGGCATGTCGATACGTCCTCAAAGTCGGCCCATTGGACTGGTTCGTAGTGGTTGTCGAGGAGGCTCGCTGACGGCTTCGGCTCGGATCGTGGGCGGTTTTGGCAATGAGCGACTGGGGCAGCTCCTCGCAGAACAAGCAGGTGTCTTGTGAGGAATATCTGTGTAGTCTGAAGAAAGCCGACCGAGAAGAAAAGACTTCGTAGCTGCCTTGAACAAGCGTTTTGCGACGCGACTGCGGAAGAATTGTGGATGGTTGCGGTACCGACGCGGTGGACAGAGCGGGAACTGACAGTTGACCGGGGTTCGCGACGAGGAGCTAGTGGATGGATTTCGCGACGGGTTGAAATCGGTCGCGAGGCTCCGAGGTCGATTGATGTCGCTACCGGTTCGAAGTGCAGGTTGAAATGCAGTCCGTCAACAAGTCGGGTATCGCGGGTTTGGAGAGGTGTTGGAGGCGAGAGGTGGTGGTATGGTGAGGCGAAAGGGAAATTCCAGGCCCAAGCTTGACCTCGAACGAACAGACGCGTCTCAGAACGGGCTCGGAAAGACCAAAGCTTTAAAGCTTAACGGGGTAAGCTCCAGGTAGCGTGTTGCCCAATTCCGGATCTCGAAAGGAGGGGAATCATGTAAATTCGATGGCGAAAAAGGACACACAAAAGACGGAGGCGCGAGACTGGTTGGTGATTTGGCGTTATTGACGGAAGGTTGGAAGGTAGGGTACGTTCGTTCGAGGATCTTGCTGAATCGGATGTTGTTTTGCAACCGCGACTGGCCGAAGGGACTGGACCTCTCCTCTCCACTTTCCATTTCAGCGATTCGGTTCACTGAACGAACGAACGGCGGCCGGACAGACGCCAACTGCTTAGCGCAGATCGCTAAGTGAGATCACCGAAGCTCCATCGATTATCGATAAGATGACGATAAGAGTCCGATAAAGAAATACGGAAAGTGGGGATGCATCACAGACAACTGGAAGAACTTAAGGTAGGCGGGCTCTCTGAAAACACACAGTGCTTCCCGTTTTCATACCTAATTAGGTACTTAAGGAGGTACCTTACCTCGGTTTGAGATTTCTGACCAAGCCAAGATATGAATGTTTCCCGCTCACTTCTCCATATCATCTTGCGGGGCAAACAACACCTGTCCAGTGCTCAAAGGGAGTCTCCTCAATGCCATGCCAAGCTAATGGGGAGCACCGGGCGGGACTCAAGCCTTTCGACGCAGTCATACTTGACCTCTCCCGGTGATAGGTGCCACAGAACGAGGCCGTGAGAAGAGGATGGGAAAATGGCGAGGACGATTGAGTTATCAACAGGTGGCTCTCAACTTCGCCATACCATCAGTCTTGCTTTGGGCGGGCGGGTCCGACATCCTCATGAGAAAGACAAATCACCATCCAGAGACGCGATGCTGCTGTCATTGACGAAGCGCATTGGATGCCTCCGTACGCCGCAGATTATTATCGCAACAGACCCGACGGCTTGGCATCGGGATATTTCCAGTCTCCACGCACCTTCTAGAAGCTAATTCCGGGAAATCGAGTCAGGTCCAGAGCCTCAATCTCAACATGCAAGGCCGCTGGGCTGGACACACGATACGAGTTACCACTCGAGACGGCTGCATGACAGGCAAACAACCGCCGCTGCAAGGATTCCCAGCTGGTCCCAACGTGGCATCACTTGCACCCGCCCGCCGGCATGGTCCATCTGATCTTTCCGTGCTTCGCGGCATCTTCGGGCGAGACCACAGTTCGGTCCCTGAGACGATGCTGTTTGATCGTCTTGCCTCCACTGCCTTGTGACAGTTCTGACGGTCTTCCTCTGCCACCGCCGGTTGGCTAGCCGGACTCGTGTCAACCACATCTCCGGTTTCCTCACCCCACGAAACCCCGACATGGAGAAAACCTTCCTCAGCTCGCTGCTCATTTTAGTCTCCGTATCCTTTTTTTCGCCGGTCCAATGCTACCTTGCAGCGCCTTATTCGTCTGGTTCCGAAAGTCAACACTCGATGAACCATACCAAACAAGTGCCAAGAGCGCATGATTCGACATTAATCGGTGCATCATATGAACTCGCCGGCCAGGGTTTACTGTCAACCCAACAATCAGCATGTCTACAAATGCCACGATGCTTCCAACCCCTTCAACATTTGTCCCTTCTTCCATTCCATCAATTCTTGTCCAACATCTCACCTGAGCGTCTTTCTTTTCCAGCTTCGCACCACTTTCACTCATTGTCCCATCCGGCAGGTCCAACTTCATCATGGTGTGCATTCAGTCATTCACTCTTCTCTGGCTTGCTTCGACAGCAGCTGCCCAAAAGTGCAAGCTCCAATTCGATGGACGCATCCCGTCCGGGACCGCACTCAAGTCTCTCGATGCCAAGAACAACTTCTTCAATCCTCAAAACGTCTTTGGCAAGGGCTTAGCCTTCAGCCAAGTTCTCCAACTGCCCAAGCAGGCCGGCTCTCCTTTTGACGGCACGAAGAGCGTGCCCGTCGAAGTCACCATCAGGTACTGTCAATCGGCTGTGATACTCGAAATTGCAGTTGGACTAACAGGCCTTAGTGACAAGTCGATCTTTAACAACCAGACCGGTTTCCGCCGCGCCGAACTCATCCCGTCCAGCAACTCCGGCACGGATCCGTCTACCACAGGCGTGAAGACCCTCCACTTCAGCATCGCAAAGGATGCGCAACGACCCCTCAATACCTCCCACGAGTACCAGATGGCTTTCCTAGAGAGTAATGACTTCAGCACGAACCAGATGGTCCTCAAGACTGGCACTATTCTCGGCGGAAACAACGCCAACCCGGACACGCTGCAGCTCTTCGGCAATGTCAACACCAAGCCGTCGCCTCCTGTCTTATTCAGCACCCCCTTCACTGAGGGTGTGACGCATAACTTTGCCGTTACATTGGATTTCGGGGCCAAGTGAGTACTGCTACATGCCTCCGACAGCCAAGTCACTAACATAAGGGTAGCACAAGCAAGGTCTTCTACTCGACTGGCAAGGATCCCCTCAAGGCCCAGGGCGACGCAGTCAAGAACGACGTCAGTGGACAGGGCCAGTACCACTTTGGTCTTCTCAAGAAGCCCGTGGGAGGCACCGGCGACATCACCAAGAACGGCTTCCAGCCCTCCGGCATTAACGAGGGAGTCATCTTTAGCGGTATCTTCCTTGAGGACAGCGCCGACGGATGCGTCAGCCTGGCTCCGTAAAGTAATCGAGTAAGAGCGAAACTCAATGCATCACGTCTCTGACTGCATAGAAGTTTCTCCTGGTTCATAATAGGCTCAGGCAATAAAAATGAGACCGCCTATTTTTCCTGTGGTAGAGCGACTACTTTTCTGTGGCTATACTCTAATTACTCCACCACCGTGGATATCGTCGTCGTCGCTTCTATTGTTATCGTCGTTATAGTCGTCCTCGTCCTCGTCCTCGTCCTTGTCCTCCTCGTCTCTGTCGCTACCATCGCTTTCGATAGTAATAGTCAAGTGTACAGGAAATATAGCGGCGCAGACACAGGAAAATTAGGCGATCTCATAAAAATAATCTCGATTATTGAATAACAAGGTAGAAATAGCCAGCCTATGAGTGTGCAATGTCTCTAGACCAGCCCATTACCAAGATTGGAATTAGTCCAAGTCCATAAACACTTTGAAGAACTTCTCAAAATTGTTGGGCACACCAAGCCCGGTGATGGTATCGAAACCCGGCTTCGCAGGCCACCCTCCAGGCGCGTCTCCGTTCCAAGCGCAAGACTGGCTTTCTCCCTCAACAACATCTTGGAGTACGGCACGCATCTTTTTAGAGTAGAGTATTGGGTTCAACCAGCCAACTGAACCCTTTCCAGCTCGTAGACGTGCGTCATTGACCAGAGCTATCATGGCCGCAACGACAGGACAACTGGCACTGGTCCCAAGGACACTGCTCTCCTTGCCGGCTCGTTGGATGACAAAACCAGAACCGATGGCGCTGATGTCGGGGAAAGCACGACCGGAGGTGTTGTAACGACCGTCAAGAGTGCCATTGAGAGCCTTGGTGTACTTCTTCACCACACCATCTTGCCATTCCGGTCTTTCAAAGTAGTTGCTGAAGCCACCAGTGCTGAACTTGGCTCCATTAACGGGCGGCCCAGAGTTTGTCGTAGCCCCGATCGCAGTGACGTACGGACACGAAGCTGGAAAGGTTGGTAAAGTCATCTCGGTCATCTTGCCGTCGTTGCTGTAGCACTTGAGGCCTCCCGTACCCCGTGCACCGCCATCTCCGCTAGCGGCAAGGACAGATACGCCTCGCGCTGCGAGAGAAGCGAACATGTCGCACGTCCTGATGGCGTACGGCCGTGGGACGCTCAACTCATCATCGGCGTAAGAGATTGATATGACATGGGGCAAGGTGTCGTCTGGTCGGGCGAGAAGATACTCCAGAAACTCCAGATAAGGCTCGTTGTCTGACTTCGGAGAGTCATCCGGTTTTCCATCCTTGTCTAATTTTGTTCCGCGGCCTCCTGTGGAATAGTACACAACATTGGCAGGATACCCCAAAGCCATGGCGTATTGGACGTCAAGTGCAGCTTCCGAGCCGGCGACATTTGCGCTTTGCCGGTTCTCGCCGCCGTTGATGAGCTCGACGCTGAATTCGTAGCCCGTCTCCAGAATCTCGGGTGCGAAACGCTTTATAAACGTCGTGGTGTCTTCTTTGTTGATGTACTCCTCCAGGAAACCCGCAATGCCGAATTTGACGGGTGAGTTCCCGATGGGGGCTGTATAATTGATCTTATAAAGGGATTTGATACAGATCGGGTCAGTGCCATCGTCGCAGGGATTCTTTGATTTACCGGGAGGTGCTTTTGGTTTGTCGGCGAGCGGATCCAGCCGCAGTGGCTGGCGGGAGGTGGCCATGAAGTTGGTAACAGGATGAACAAAGTCGATGGCCGAGGAGATTTTCTCTGGAACTGAATATGAGAGAGCTCTAATAGCTGGAGCCCCGCCATTGAAGCTGTACTGGTTGAACTCCGTGTTAAGAAGCTTCTCGCCGTTTGCAACCGTCGTATTGAAATTGATCCAACTCCGGGACACTTCTAAGTCGACGATATCCTGAGCCGTAAGCCACGAACGTACGGCATCCACATCCTCTCGGCTGGCGGCACGGTAATTCTCTACGGATTCTTGAGAGAGACGTTTTGCGTAGTCCTTGCTAGTCGGGTTGCTGATAGCCTTGAGGCGAGATTTCAATTCGTCGAGCTTGGGCTGCTTAAGGGCAACGGAAAGGGTGATCCTATCCGATTGTCCGGGTCTACCCTGGGAAACCCATCCCTGAGGGACATTGATAACATTCTCGACCTGAGTAAGGGCGCTTCCGACAGAGATAATTGCAGATGCTGTGATCGCATACAACGTGAAATAGTTGGCGATCATAATGGCGGCAGGAGTATTGAGAAGAACTCGAGTGAGAATCCAGCAAATTCAACGAGAAATTAACTTGCACAAAGATATCTGCCGGCTTTTGAACCTTACCGGTGCAGGAATTACGAGGGATTAAACTCGTTGCCGCGATCCTAGTTAGGAAAAAAGTGAGGTCGGACGACTCTTGCATTTACATCCCAAGAGCTTGGGCGTTCATGTTGTCTGTTTTCTTTGACCAACATAGTGTTTTGGGGATAATTGTTCGGCCTATGCGGCCGGTATTTCCTGCGGCTGCGGAGACCAATGCAATACATCATTTTCGGCACGGATCAATGGCAAAATCAGTGGTACCATCAGTTCAGCCATCCACCCATTCAGCCGTGATGCAATGACACGATGTTGGAGAGCGCTCCGGTTAACCACTTTGGGCATCGGCACATGAGTCAACCTGTACATTTGCGGAACATTTTTCAAAATATGCCGGGGAGACTCTTTAAAGATTGTATATAGACATGTAATATATAGCACTCGGTTCTGCAAATGGTAGTGGCATTGCGGGCATGAGGTCCGGGCTTACACACACAACACGGTGCCTAAACTTCGTGCTCGTGGTGGCTAACCACGGCAGCAATCTTCTCTTGACGGTTGGCAACCTCCTCCAACTGCGGTCTTAGGGCATCGGCTGCCTCTTGCGAGAAGTGACGAGCGCTAACCCGATGCTCGAAGAGCAAGTCAATCTCCGAGTACGTGAGACCAAACGGCTCCGGCAGTCTGAAGAACGTCCACGCGAGGAACAGGGCCGCAATACCAGCCCAAAAGAAACCACCCTTGGCGCCCCAATTCCAGTCGTTTGTTCCGATAATCTTAGGCTGAATGGCGTTGACGATGAAGCCACCCGAGTTGTAGAAGGCACGGGCGAGTGCGACAGTCTTGACACGCAGCCGAGTGGATGGCATCTCAGCCACGAGCGTGTAGCAAGATGGACCGACGCTAAGCTGGAAGAGGAAGAGCATCACGACGATAAGAGCTCCTACACCCCAAGACTTTGCGTTCGATTCGGCGCCGATGCCGAGTCCTCCGATGACAATGAGAATGATGACCATGGACGACAAGCCCGCCAAGTAAAGGGTGCGTCTGCCGATGTGGGTCATGATGTACCATGCGATGATGCATCCGATGAGACCGATGCAGTTCTGCACCAAGCCCATTGAGAATCCGCTTTCTTTGCTGAGACCGGCGCTCGTCATGAACTGCACACCATATCCCATGAAAGGGACTCCGCAGAAGGACTGGGTTAGCCAGACCATGCACGCAATCTCGGTGCGGCGGAGGTCGATGCCACGGAAGCAGTCCCAGTAGTGAGTTCCGGAGCTGACCTCAATCTCAAACTGGTTGGTAAGTCGCATCATCTCCATGTGGGCATCGAGATCAAAGTGGACGCCACTCTGAGGAGATGTCAAGCTGCGGACCGCTTCTCTTGCCTCCTCCATGCGGTTCTGGCGAACGAGCCACCAAGGGCTCTCCGGAGCGAACAAGGTGCCGATGATGATGGGGATAGGCCATACCCATTGAATCGCAAAGGCTGTATGAAAGTCAGCGAAGCGGTCGACTGTCAGTTCTTTTACCACTTACGAATGCGATAACCCCACTGATTATCAATCTGCAACAGACCACGAAGCATGCCGCTGCTGATGAGTCCTCCGATGACCCAGCACATGTTACTGCGCCCATTAGTTAACATGCGCGTCATCTGCGATGGGAAAAAAGACTTACACCCAGGACGTCATGTAGCCTCTGAGTGCCATAGGGCAGATATCGGCAGCATAGGTGACAGCCAAGGTCTGGAAGATGCCCCATGGGATACCCTGAATAAGAGCACCAGCAAGAAACATCGGGAGACCATTAGAGAAGAACGGAATGAAGACGGCGCCAATCATCGCAACCATAGAGACGATCATGGTCTTCTTGTATCCAAGCCACTCGGTGATGAAGCCATTGAGGATGAGGCCAAGGATGGAGCCGACTTGGACACCGTTGTTGATGATTGTTTGCCACCGGGACGAGACGATCATTTCACCCTCGGAATTGATCTCGTCTCCATAACGGTTCGCAAAAGCCGGAAACACGTAAAAGTTGCTCATCAAGTTAGTGTCGTAACCCTTTGCGTGTTGTTAGTACCTCTCTATGACTGAATATTCCAGGACAGGAGACAGCGTACCTCCATGATGATGGCAAGAGAGATGATGAACGAGAACATCACGGCCTTGGGCCAGAATCTAAGAGAGTCTCGAACGCTCATCCCACGCTCGATCTGCATCGCCGTGATGGCTTCGCCTTGGTTATGATCATTGTGGTGGCTGGCGGCTGGCACCGCATCGGCGCCAATGGCCTTGTCTTGCGACATGTCGAATCAGATTGTAAGAAATCGCCGAAGAAACCGGGCCGTCGAGAATGAGGTTATTCCCACATCGTGACAATAGTTGGAGAGGGCGCGACGTCGCATTTATAGACAAGAACGCGGGGGCTGTTCACACCCTGCAACGCAACACAACAGCTGCCATCTGAACAGGCCAGAGCCCAATCCAATCTCCTGGTATTGCCGAGGATATGCGGAGAACCCAGACGAACCCATGATGGGGGCAGCGTTGGCATCGCACGTTTTGAGGACGAAAGCCGCACATCGAGGTGCTGATGGGAGGGTCCCATGGGGAATTCTCCGGGTTGAAGACGATGGTCGGTCGAGACTTTTGGGGAAGCAACCAGGTGCCATCATTCGTCAGACGATTGTGGGTGACACGACTCAATGCTCTGAGCCGGGGTTGAGAGAGAAAACCGTCAGTATTCCGCCGCTAGCCCCCAATCGAGCGTAGGATACCGACAGGGAGAGCCCTGGTCACTCGAACTCGGCCGGGTAACCAACGCGTGGTGAAATAGAGCAGCCCAGGGACAGTGAATTTTTGGTGCCATTTTCTCGCTGCCGTCAATACCAAACGCCCCATCTGTATCTGTCCAACACTCGTTGCGCGCCGCTTGACGAGCACAGCGGCCTTTGCTCCGAGGTAACCTCCGCGGCATGCGGAAACCTTCGGCTTGTGCTGCATGTCGGTACATATTCGGTTGCCCCATTGTCTTCACATGACGACGTCCTTGCGCTGGAAAGAGTTGCCTGACATGATCCTGCAGAGCCCGACGGCGCAAATGCCACTCCAGGGAGGGCCTCGAAGACTGCATTTACTGCCACGAAAGGGGAATCAAATGCGTCCAGAAACCACCTCAAGGCGGGTACTACGAGCAAAGAGAGAATGAGCGCAAGAAAAATCAGGAACAACAGGAACGGCAGCACCAACACCAAGGACAGGCTAGTCCGTCACCCGGATCCCATGCCGGTGGCTGGTGCTCCCGATGTGAGACCACGCCGCATGCCACTCTGCCTAGTCTGCCCGTCCGGCTGGATCTGGCGAGACTCTACTTCGACTACATCCATGACCAGTTCCACTCCCTCTTTCACCGGCCAAGCTTTATCGAGGATGCTCTCGCCGACCGGGTGCCTCACGGACTCCTTTACGGTATCTGTGCCTTGTCTGCCAGGTGCGTCCCCCATGCGTTGCCAAGACTCATTGATAATGAAGACGGGCAGAGATCTGATAACAATCCAGATTCTCGACCGACCACTCCTTCGCGGACATTGACCCGCGGGACAGAGGTCGTGTATATCTGACAGCTGCTGAGAAGCTGACCAACCTTCGCGATGTGTCGTTAACAACCATCCAACTTTGTGTGCTGGTGGGAGCCGCGGCAACAGCCGATGGGGATGGGGAAACAGAAAACATCTACTATGGCGTAGCATGTCGCATGGCACAGCTGCTGGACCTCCCCAACCGACCAGCAACCAGCCTCTTGGAACGCGAGATCAATATAAGGGGTAAGACAATCCTCCGATGCCAAGTTCATCTGCAAGGCACAAGAAGCCCAACTGACAGGTCCCCAGTCTGGTGGTCACTCTGCATGATTGACGTGTGGTCATCCACCGCAGTCAAGCTGCCCAAATTGCTACCGGCGAGATCCGACATTCCCCTGCCGATGGACGATCTGCCGTTCCTATCGATGAGTCGCAGCGTTCCTGCAGCACCCTTGTCGAACCAGAGCTCGCAGCATCTCTCGCAGATGGTGAGGCTGAATAGGATCTTGCTCGACATTAATGACTTTAACCAGCGTTGCGTGGCCGAGAACCCTAACTGGGACTCTCTGGAGCAGGGCGTAGAGACCTTGAGCGCTCGTATGGAAGCCTGGCTTGCAGATCTCCCAGACAACATGAGAGATACACCCGAGAACTTTGCCTGGTTCGCGGCACGAGGTCTCGGCCGGACCTTTGCTGCGGTGTACTTGGGATACTATCACTTTGGGCAGCTCCTTTATTACCAGTTTCTGTACGGTGCAGCTGCTACAACGGCCATCAACCCTACGGCATCCGCGTCCGTCGCGCGCCGAGACTCGTATGCAAACAAATGCAAAGACCACGCCGCCCGGCTGTGCGACATGGTGTATCGCGCTCAAACAACAGCCGGCGCTGACGTTAGATATACCATGACGGCGCATGTACTGGTCATCGCGTCCACGGTCCAAATCCACACCCTGTTGTTCAGCGGCAACGAGGCAGACATAAGCGTGGCCCGCCAGCGTTTGGAGAGAAATTTTGAGCTCATTTTGCAACTGCGATGCTACTGGCCAACGACGGACCACGCCATCAGCCGCCTGAGAGCATTCCACGAGACGGCGCGGACCAGCATCGACACGAGCTTCGTCCTTGACCGTTGGATGCTCCGATTTCTGGTTGAGTTTGCGGGGCCAATGGAGGAAAAGGACGTCGGAAGTATCCGGCGCGGGGATGGAGATGAGATGGAGTCACTGTGGACGATGGAGGGGCTCCGATGAGGGGGTGGATTGTGTGGTGAAGTTGGGGAGCTGATTCTGGACTCTTGGCCCGTCGGCGGAGACTGAGCTCTTGGGTACTACATAGTGGACTTATTCGATCTTGCGCTCTCACATGCCACACACACGGCCATGAAGCCGTTCATATTCGTTACCTGGGGTGAGGTGAGGGACTCATCTTCCGAGAAATACGCCGGCAAGGGTTGCAAAAATTCTCACGAGCCAGTGACCACACGGCATAGCAGCGGGGTGCCTCCTTGGCTACAGTTGCAGGTATTCCTTCCGATCATTTGCCAGGCTCTCCCCCCGAGATGCAGTGCTCAGGCCGTTTGACCAGCGGATCCGAATGACTCGGGGGGATGGTTGGTTGGAACCTGGGAGTGCGGAGAAGGCGGCGGGAAACTCGACGAGTATTCCGCCCCCTGTCGGCAACACGCTCCGTTTACACGACCTCACCGGCCAGTTGCCCCTCCGTGCCCCTCTCTTGGCGGCCGGCATCATGTAAGTCGGAGCCCGCGAAACGTGATGTTGGAGGTCACGATAGCGGGGCTGAATGGATCTGCTATGCTACCTTTGCTGACCGTCTGCTCGGTATAAGAACGGAAGCCCGAACGACTTTGTGCCTCTTTCATCGAGCCGAGCGACTAGCAAGATCCATTGCTGTTTCTCTGATCGCACGACTGTCAAAATGACACCAAGATCGCTCGGTTTCGTGGCCGTGTTGGCATCGGCTAGCCGTGTCGCCGCTCTCATGAATGGGCTGGCTGATACACCTCCAATGGGATGGGTAAGTCTATGGCAGCCTCTAGGTATATGAGATAGGATGATTGACCATGGCCAGAACAACTGGAACGCATTCGCCTGCGACGTCTCCGAGCACCTCTTGCTGAGCACATCGGAACGCATCGTGAGCCTTGGCCTGCGCGACTTGGGATACAACCACGTCGTTCTGGATGACTGCTGGCAAGATGAGAACGGCCGCGATGCCAGTGGCAAGCTTCAGCCGAACCTTGAAAAGTTCCCCAATGGCCTCAACCACGTGTCCGATCATATCCACAAGCATGGCATGAAATATGGCATGTATTCCACAGCTGGCGAGATGACCTGCGCCAGATTTGGTAACTTTATGAGTATGTCTCTATTCATCTGACATTTTGATTGACCTTTTCAAGCCGGCTCTCTGGACCACGAGAAGGACGATGCTGATAGCTTCGCCTCCTGGGGCGTCGACTTCCTCAAGTACGACAACTGTTTCCATATGGGCCGGATGGGCACGCCCGAAATCTCCTTCAACAGATTCAAGAAGATGTCCGATGCCTTGCAAGAGACTGGGCGACCGATTTCTCTCAACCTGTGCAACTGGGGCGAGGACTATGTCCACACGGTATGTCTGCTTGATTGCTTCTTCCTATGCCCCCATGGTCCCTGTTGTTCCCGTCGTCCACACTGTCCTCTTCATCTCTTGCTATATCGGCTGGTCCGGGAATCTGCTAACAACTGATCAGTGGGGAATGTCTATCGCCAACTCCTGGCGCATGTCCGGCGACATCTACGACTCCTTCACCCGGCCCGACGACCTCTGCAGCTGCAACACCGCTGCGGACCCCTTCTGCATAGCCCCCGGAACCCACTGCTCCGTCCTGTTCATCATCAACCGCGTCGCGGCCTTCGCAGACAAGTCCATCCCCGGCGGCTGGAACGATCTCGACATGCTCGAGGTCGGGCAGGGCGGCATGACGGACGAGGAGTACAAGGCCCACTTCGCGCTCTGGGCCGCGCTCAAGTCGCCCCTGATGCTCGGCAACGACCTCCGCGACATGCCTGCCGAGGCGCTCAGCATCGTTAACAACCCCGCCATTATCGCCATCAGCCAGGACCCCCACGGCCGTAGCGCTCTTCGAGTCAGGAGGGATGTCGGCGGTGGCTTGGTGCCGGACGAGTTCGGCGTCGCGGAGGCGCAGGTCTGGAGTGGACGGTTGGAGAACGGCGATCAGGTCGTCATCTTCCTCAACGCCGCGGGCACGGAGGTTGACATGGAGTCGTCGCTTGCGGAGATCTTCGTCGCTGATGGCCCTGGAGGCTCGGCGCCGCAGGTTAAGTACAAGTGGGCTGTTCACGATCTGTGGGCGGACCGCATGCCGACGGAGACGGCGCAGGCGCTCTTTGACGCGGAGAGCGACGACGCTCGGGTCAAGATCTTCAGGGACGCAAACTGGTATAACGCCACGGAGATTCCGTACGCTGTCGGACTGGAGAAGGAGGACCCGAGGTTGTTTGGCAAGAAGATTGGCGATGTTGAGCCGAAGGGGGTGTTGAAGGCCACTGTGCCTAGCCACGCGGCGAAGGTCTTCCGGCTCAGGAGGATCGCGCAGCCTGGGGATGGCTTCAAGGCGAAGAGCCATGACCGCACAAACAGAGCAATCAAGGATGAGCTCTGATGGACTTACGTCTGGGCCATAGGTAAATGCATACGGAAACTTCGCGACGGGTTTGTCAGATTGGTCGTCGTTACGAAGGAAAGTGTTTCGACTTGTACAGGGTCAATAGAGAGAATATTGAGTAGCCGGCAATGCTGCCTGCACTGGCTGCAAACAATTATAGATGGTAGGCATTCACCTTGGCCGACGAAGAAAGCGAATGCATGATCGCGGTTGAGACGGCCGTAGAAACGACGACACGGTCTACAAATAAACCTTGATTAGGTATCTGGATCAAAGTGATGAAGAGACTATGCCATGGAAAGTCGTCGTCTTGTTTAACCCAATCCATCAGCTGTAAAGGGACAATAGCGAAGAAGGACAGTCGCTCATGCTACAGTCGTAGAAGTCTGTTTATCAACCCTGTACTCAACGATTGCTCGTTAAACATGCGTCCACTATCGAATATCACGAATTGCAGAAAGACAGCAAAGGACTTTCACAGCGAGAGAGAGAGACCACAGCAAGCGACCAAGACATGGGCGGTTCGGGCAAACAGAATCACTCAGACACTACGGACCGGCTGATAATCACGACTGGCAAGATGAACCATAGACAGAAGTCTCATCCACCTCAAAGGAGGCTGAACACATCCAAAACGCTTCATCCACAGAAGTCCAGAAGCTTTCGGCTGCCTGAAGATAGAGGCGACTCTCAGAGTCAGCCTCGATCGACCCAGCCCGACGACTCAACCACGGACCGCTTGCCTATCATCGGGCCTTAGAAAGCCGACAAGACGATGCTGCTGCCATCAGGACCCAGCGAAAATCCGAAAGTCGTCATAATTGAGACCAGAACTCGTTCAGCAACGAACCGTGGGACAGAAGCGAAGCTCCTTGATGCCGAGCACCCGCGCTCGCCTATTCAAGCATGTCGTGTCTCGATCCCCAAGCACCCCTGAACGTCCACCGTGGCCATCGTGCTCCTGAATCGGAAACCGTTCCCATCCAAGTTTACGGGGGCCGGAGGAGAGCGAAGAAGGACCTAGGTTTGTGACCGGAAGAGGCCGCCCCCATCGGTGGTCGAGTGTCTGAGCCACAGACGTGGGCCGGTTCAACATCAGGCAGAGACCGGGGGGGTCCGATCGTCGTTGCCGTCAAGCTACATAGATTAATCCTGTAGGATGGTTTCGATGAAGAAACTTCTGGGTTCATGTCGCAGTTTAGCATGTTGATGGCGGCTAGAAAAGGTTCCGTGGCTTCGGATATTCTCCTTGTGTCACTCCATAACGTAGCGGAAGCGCATCATCGCCAAATCCTGTGACCAAACGGATGCAGAATCTCGCCAAACTTGATTAGATGTGACCAGAAGACGCCCGCCTCATGCAGAAATGCCGCGAGAAGATTGACTGTTCTTCTGTTGCTTGTACGCTGCTGTGCTCAGAATCGCTTCATCCTCGTGCTTCTCGTGCGCTGCTCCCAGTGCGTCTCTCGGAGCACCAGAGCAACGCAAGTTCTCAACCCCGGTAGATTATCCAAGGGACTTGCAGCCACAGACATGATACGCCCCTCCTCCCTGGTCATTACGAGAATCACACATCGAGGGATGTCTGAGATGACCCCCCTTCCCTCCAGCCTAGGACAAGCTGCGGGTGGATCCGTGGAAAAGGAAAACATGGAGAGGATGAGAGAGAGTGAGAGAAGAAACAGGGCTAGATCGCTGCGAGCGCACGGCAGGCGCCCCAATCCCTCGGGGCTTGGCTACGAGAAGGGGTTGGGCCAATAGAGGATCTTGACGAGCGAGACTGACTCTGATCGAGACCTGCATGGGGTGGCATGTCTGGCCGAGAAATTGGGTGGCAGAGCGCTCCCTCATCCCCAAAAGTGATCAGCCACGGTGACCAGCTATTCTTCGGACGATGGAAGAGAACATCATTACGGGACTAGGGTGGAGGGAGTGGCACCTCGTATGCTTCGCAGCAGTGCAAGGCCTTATGTTAGTGAGCTGCGACAAGGTCGTGCGGTTTGGGATTGAGTGGCCAGACATGCAGTGATGTCGTCAGTCTCGTATCCTTTTTTTGCGGAAGCACCGCTGTGGTCACCAATCTTGGGTCTTTGTGCAGGAAGCCCAGATATTATTAACTCCTGTCATCAAATTGCAGGCTTGTATTGGTACGTGGTCGTGGGAAGCGTCAAGAATTGAAGCTTCAAGTGGATCGTGCCGTTCGTCTGGTGACATAGCCTCCAGTAAGCAATGCTGAGCCAAACTCGCACAGAGCACGATTTGCATCCCGTTGCTTCCTTCTCGGGGGCTTCGAGGCAGGAGAGAGGCGCCTGGTTGGTTGCCAGTTATCTGGATCCAACGCCTCACGGCTCTGGTGAGATCATCGCCCGATGATACAGCATGGGCTGGAACTGTTCAGGCGGATAGGTGATCCGCGACCGCTGCGCGGGTTGTCAATGACGCTCGCTCGCTATTCCTACCGGGAAGCCGACACTGACAGAGCTGGGCGAACGAGGGTGTAGCAAGCAACCACCGTGTGCTAGAGCAGTTTGCATCATCTGATGAGTATTCACACTCAAGATC